TTCCTAAATTGGATTTTGATTTACATTGAGAAAATTGACGTGAAAATGTGAATGTTAAATAAGGGTCTGCGTTAAAATTGCAAAATTTTGATTTCGTTTTTTTATCAAATTGGGATGATTGATAATAATTATTTTTTTTTTAATGATTTATAATTTCTGTTTTTATATCATGTTAAATTTTCAGCAAGTTTCTGAATTGCATCTTGATTTAGATTGAGGAAGTGAGGTTATGTCTATGTTGGACGGTCAAATATTATAAAAATCGGCGTGTAACAGTTGGGCGATGTCCCTTATAAACTGTTTCGTCTAGCAGTGTAAACATTCACCATCGAAAAAAGGAAATTGCGATTGCTCGTTAACGATCGCACTATTTTTCGAGGGACACTCGTCTGTCGCTGGTGCAGCCAGCAACTGAACTGTGGATAGAAAAATTGTCGTTCTACTAACCGGTGTTGCACTTTCACGCATGTTAACGGGTCGCGATAACGATTTCTCGAAAGGGAGTTTCGACGTCGAGCGCACAGTCTCGACATGTCAGAACTCGATAGAAATGTACGATACCCTCATCCTGTGCTCTTTTCTCTTTATAAAAATCTGCCATTCAAATTTACTCAAATGTCGCGCGACTTTTAGAAGTCGCGAATATTACTAACTACCAATAATCGATACAATACGAATTGTACGAAGTTACGAATTAGCGAGGTAAATAAAATTATTATTTAAAATTACGTAGGCTCTCCAAACCACGAGCATCGATTCTGAATCGAGTCCTCTGGTGTAATCATCTTCCCCATTGTTCTCTTTCGTATTTCCTCCATACCAGTCGACGCGGAATCTAATCTCTCGAATTTTCCTCTGGGAGAGAGTTTTTCCATCAGTGTTATATCGTGACGGACCTCCGAGCGTTTGGTCGCTACTTCGAAACGCAATTAGGCCAAGCAAACCTGTCTTTGTCGCCGTGACGCAGCCAAGTATAGCGTTCTGTGGGCAAACTGCTCTACCGCCGTGTGTGTAAACGGTGTTAGGAGTTTCCAGAGAAAAAATTCGCTGCGACATAGAATATCGTGGGACGGATTCGCTCCTGAGAGTTTCACGGAGAGATTAGCATCGTAGTTTGGGGACAAATTGGCAAGAGCGGTTCGGCGGGAATTAATATGCATGTTTAGGGAGAAACTTGCGGCCTCTGGGAGGAAATTAATATGGGAATTTTGGCGGCGTAGCGGCGCCAGAGTCCAGGGACGAATCGATACGACTTTGGGGACG